CTGGAAGGAGTTTTTGACAGTCCATGTTACCACAGCTGTTTAGTCCTATCACATCTTCTATTTAGAAGAAATTTCTCACTATTCTTTTTTTCTCTACCTTTTCCTATGCATTAACTTCAAGTGGTTTTGAAAAACTTTACTTTCCACCTTCTCATATTCAAAACAGAAGTCTCCTTTTTTCAGAAAATGTCTTTAAAAGCCTAAMTGTTTCTCAATATTTTAATATTGCAAGGCAGGGAGCAAAATGAAAAAAAAAATCTGAAATTCTTTTAGTTGCAGGAAACTTGCAGAGTCTATTTTTTGCAGTAATGACTCTACTAGGAATTGCCTTRTTTTGTCAACAGTTCCATGCATTTCCTTGTGAGCATAAAGCTCGAGAGGGACTGTCAAAGACTCTCCTGTGGGTTTCTTTCTACCACTCTTCACTTACATGGTATTTTTTAAGCAATACAGAAACAGCTTTTAGAAGGTCAAAAATGAAATGGCTTCCTCTCACCATCAGGGAGGCCACAACTCAAGTGATTCTGTTTCTTTTTTATATTAAATAAGCAAAACTTCAAATGATAGTATGCAGAGATGTAGCATGAACTCACCAGAGTCGGAATCAATGACATGAAACCTGACATTTTGCCATCTGTTTGTCTCCAATAAATGTCTTCTCTAGAAGGTTTCTTGTCTCCTCACCTCCTTTCAAGGGACTGAAGACAAGTGAGAGTCCCTTCTATACAGGTTTTTGAGCTACCAAATCAGGACACTGACCTGTGAGTACACCAGGCCCAGCAATATCTGAAGTTCCCCTTCATTATAATTTTATAAAATGCCTCAGGACCTCAGATGACAGGGCACAAAATCACTGTGTATACAACTGCAAATGAAGTGTGCTGCTCCATGTTCTTYGACAGCAATGAGATTCCTGATTATTTTACCAATTTTCCCCTCCTTCCTAATTCTGTCCCTGCCCCATAAAGTGTGGGTACATCAAACCTTCACACTTAATGCACCTTCCTGATCCAATGGATCATCTTGCTTTAATATTCTAAGAACAAAACCATCCTGCTTAGTCCCTTGTCAACACATATGGCTGTGTTTGTTTCTCTTTGCACTGACAGCTTAGAGCACTGTTTTCCAAAACCGAGCAGAAATAAAAGCCCTACAAGGAGGCAAATTGTCAAGCTGAAGCAGTAAAGACTTTATGGCTCCCCTAATGCTTAGCATAAAGCACTAAGAACATTCGAAATTTAGCTGTAATGTCTAAATTTTTAAAGTGCAGTCTCTTTGCAGAGAAGATGCATGTTGCTATTTCAGTCACTACACTTCTCATGCAACTGTTGGGCTGAACGACTTCCAAGCAGAAAATAGATCTTAGTCCATGTGCTCCRGAATACTCAAGTGTTCTAAAAAATTTAGCAAAATAGGTATGAGGCTGAGGGTAATTTGTGCCAAAGGATCCACCAAATGTGTTACGTGAGCAGCAATGTAAACGCTGCTGGGACCTATGTGGTTAAACTATTCCAACACCAGGGATATTTAATCCATTTTCCCCCTAGATTTTGGGTAWTTACTGGGCAATTCATCCATGCAATACACAGCAGCAGTTACTGTGTGATCCATTTTCCTTAGTGACCACCAAACCCCCATGAACCCAGTGAACAGCACACCAACAAACAGTACTGAGGAAAAAAAGGTGTGTCTGAAATGGGGCTGGAACAGATGTGTGCCAGCAGTGGAGATTTTGGGAACATGCTCCAGTCCTTCTGTAGCTAAGCTGTCTCCAGCCTCTGAGAACTGGGATGGGATTGTGCTGCTCCTTGGAACAGCTCACCAACACCTCTAAAATCATCTGGAACCCAAAAGCCAGAGAGGGGACAACAYAACTGCAAAGAATAGACCTAATGAGGAGAAAAAGTCAGCAGAAGGAAAGAATGTGGACACACAGCAAACCTTTAAGGGCCTTTCCTTCAGCTGTTTGCATTTTGCCCATGAGCTGGAGATTGCTCTAACAGCATCCAGCCCTCACAGCATGTTTACACTGTTTCCCAAATGACTACCATAGAAAGGTTTCTGTACAAACCCCCTCTCTCTTTTCCTGCCTGCCACTGAAAATGTCACATTTGACTGTCTTTATATTTTATAATACATCAGCCAGGTGYTGCTCCTGCCAAAAAAGAAAAAATCTTCTGCGCATTCCAAATTGCAATAGCTTACACAACTACCATGTTATTCACTTGTTTTTAATAGGCTAAGACACTGAAAAGAGGAGAAAATGTGTTGCCCACTAAGCACTATGCAACARCTCCAGCCACCGTGTGCAATTTCATTTCATACATCCACCTCTGTCAGGAAATAATGTTTCTCCAGCTTAGTGAAGGAGCCATTTTCATGTCCATTCTCTTTGCTGGAGCCACTAAAGGAAAATCAGAGCGATGCACTTTTTAATGACTTYGGCATAACTAAAAGAAAACTTAACTCTATAAAAGGAAGCCTGGTTTCTGTCCTTATTTGGCAGTAAAACATGTRCTGATTGTGAGCATGGCTTGAATACAAACTACATTGTAATTGAGCTGTACAAGCAWTTCAGCTTTAAGATGGCACTTCTAATCTTTCTCTGTTGTATGATCCAAAGACTGTGATGACTTAAAATTAGGAGTTTTCWGTTGTTTACAAGGCAGACTTAGAAAATTGAAAAGCTTATTGATTAGGAGCCATTATTCATCCATAAATTAAAACTGAAGCTATCAGCAGGGTTCTACATTGCTTTCAATTATGTTTGGATGCTGTGCTCCTGTATTAGTTCACATGTTTTGAGAAAAATACATTGTACCAGCTAAATTATTACTGTACATGAGGCAGCAGCCAGTACAGCCCAATGTCCTCTCCCTTATTACAGCTTCAATTGGTTGTTTTAAACAAAAAATTCTGTTCCAGTGTGTTTAGAGATAGGATATCCTAAGGGAGTTTTCTTCTATTGCCCAACAACACTGGCCTGTGTTCTAAATCCTTTCCAAATGCTGTCTATTTTTTTTTTTTAACTTTTTGCTGCCAATCCTTGAGGCTATTSCTCCTCTTCCAGGCCTTACTAAGTTCTTGGCCATACCATTCTCTTCATGGGGTATTTCTTTTCCCATGGGCTGTGACAGTACRACGCAAAGAGCAAAATTTAAAAGCTGGAAAAATTAATAGGGAAAAAAAATCATCCCTTACTCTTAAATGAACAAGTCACAGAGTTTAGCTGTGGAAATTTCCCAGGCAAAGTTCACAAGAGATTGGGGGAATAYTGCAAAGCAGCACCACCACCCATCCTTCTGCTCCCTGGGGACACTGGCTGCAGGACATGGACATGGGTGACAGCCCAGGTGAGCCTTTGCCTTGTCTCATCTGCCTGAGCTTGTACAAGGTATTTGAGCCCAGAGGACTTCAGCATTCCAGCCTCAGGGATAAACCCCACTGGTATGAGCACAGTTTAAACACCTGGGCACACGGGGAAAGTCAGATTGTGTATCAATTGGAGAGAGCAGACGGTACATTGACCAGTTTAGACAAGACTCAGTCACTCAGACACTAAAAATGGAGTATCAGGCTAGAAATCTTCACTTTAGGTAAAATTTCTCTCAATAGGTTGATACAGAGCAGAAAATTCACCTGCAATACAAACAGGRGGTAACTACTTTTTGATCAGCTTTTGGAAACAATGGAATGAATTTTTACCAAACACCAGCACTGCTCAGAGGCGYTTGCAGCTGCTGGCTTGAGAGTGTCTCCAGCTGCCTGGGCTGTGCAGGAGGAGGGAAGCTTTATCTCCCTGATAGAAAAATTGGGGACCTGCCAAGGGATGATGTGAAAGGATCCATTCATCCAGTGGCCAGCAGTGGGACTACTTATGGGGCTCAGGGATTAGGCAACCTTGGCAGACAGGGATGGCAAATCTGCACTYGTGTCCCAAAGCATGTTCTCTGATGCACAGGGAATTTATGGTAGAAATCCCAGAAAAAAAAAATAAAACATTGCAATAAGCTAAAAGATATTTAGCTGTTTGTACAAAGAGAACCATTGAACATTAAATGAGTTTGTTATTCCTCTGATGGAAGGACAAGTGACACATTAGCTCATTTCATTATTAAATTAATATCAGCTTAGTGTGTTTAATTGATCTAAATTGTTCTGATCCAGCTGAAGCTGGAATGTTTGAATCAGCCTGATGCTGGTGTGTCATAATTCATCAGTTATTTTCCTCAGCCAGCTCAGGGAATTTGAGAAGACTCAAGTGCACCAGGGGAACAAGGAGGCACAAGAGACCGACAGCTTTTCCCTGCTCTTTCTCTCCTCTTTTCTGCACTAACTCTGCTGTCCATCACTATTGCCAGCTAGAGCTGAGTCTGCCAATCACTCTGACACTCTGCATTTCCCAGACCAGGGACTCTCCTGTGAAAACTGTTGACTTGGCTTTAAATATTACTTCTCACAGTATTATTTTTTACTACCTGCTATAGAATTTCTGCATGCACAAGACAAATGCTCGTGAGGACTTAATTTAAACAGGAACATGRCAGAATTGATAAATCTAGTGACAAGAGTAAGAACAGCCAAGAAGAGAGAGAGACCTGTGTGTTATTCTGCACTGAACATGTGACTCAAAGTGTCACATTCACAGAATAAAGGGAAGACCTGGTGACCCAAGCAGAATAAAACAATATTTTTAGATGCAAAACCACTGGGACTCAGCATATGGAGTTGCTGGGAGTGCTGTAGGATTGCTGTTATGGTACAAAACCAGCAATAAAGAAACAGCCTGCTTAGTGCCTCTCTCCCCACAAARCATCTTTGACATTGGAAACGAGTCAATCTGGACCAAGAAACARCCATCCTCAGAAAAGGGTTTCCTTCTCATTCACTTCTTTTTCCTGGACTAGGGATTTCCTCAATCAGGTAATGATGGAAAACCATCACCATACAGTGATTCTCATTGCTTTGGTTAAAATAAGGTAAGGAAAGGGCCAGCTCACCTTGCATTGTCCCTCCCATGTGATTTCAAGAAGTTCATATCCCGGTACCTGGACAGGAATGCCACCAGCTGGTCATTTGTCCTGCAAGAGAAAGTACAAAAGATGCATAAATTACACTGTGAAAACCACTGTGTCTAAAGAAATTTAAATACTTATGGTTCTCATTTGGGGACCATTCTCAGATTCTGAAGGAGGTGGTTCCTGAAAAACTTCCATCCTGCAGCTAAACTTCAATGACTCCCTCTGCTCAGGAAAGMATACTTGGAAGGAAGCACAGCTTTATTACACCTTAGCAAATTTCTTATCAACCCTTGGCAGGTATTTTAAGCACTGTAACAGAGTATATATAAAGCAATACTCAACACTTTTAAAGTATGAAAATCCAGCTGTGAGATGACTGCATCGATAGTCCCATTTTACATGCTTTGCTAGGTATTTCCTAGGGAATTTGGTTCAGTATCTATTGGCATTTTTTATTTGTTTTCCCTGTGTAATAGAGAAAAGGCCAAGGTTGGAATGCATAAGGCAAGAGAATTTTGATGTCAAAAAGGCAATGTAATTAATAGGAACAAAGGAATTTAGAAGGTTAATTCCAATTAGTATGACAGGCAATCCGACAGCAGCATTTTCAAAATTTCAGCTGACATGTCCAAGAATGTRTTTACGCTTGACAGCTTTTGTGGTCTGTTATTTCTTTAACAATGGAGAAAAAATGTTCTCTATTTATCTAGGTCAGCATATTTAGGAAAACTGAATAAATCACATTAAAAAGATCTTAATCTCCTGAACAGCATTCAAACCCACAACCTTATAGATACAACACCATTTAGGCAATGGTCTGTAATGAAGTTGATGGCAGAAAAGTCAAGATAAAAGAGCTGTCAATAGCACCGTATCTTGAAAACATTTCATYATTGTAAGCCACAGAAAGCCAAGTTAAACCTGAATGTGCTTAACTGTACAAAATGTGTTAAAATTCTGGAGTCAGGCTGCAACAACCTGGAAATGTTATCAGCCAAGTAAACTATTTTCATAATCTCATGGATTTTATCTAACCAAATGAATGATCTGTCAATCAACCATCCTGACAGACCAGGCTCCAAGACCCTCCTCCTGTACTCCCTTATGGGAGCTGCAATACCTCCCAGGGTCACTCTGCATCTCAATTTGGCAAACTCAGAAACTGCTTTCTGTATAGTAAGCTGTGCAGATTTTCACATTTGCTGCTCCAGTGACTCTCCATCTTCCTGGGATGAATAGGCATTTAGTGAATTTACTTAGCAATGCTTCCACATGAAATGGTTTCAATGGCTGACATCTTCGGGTGAGTTTCTAGGCAAAAGCTGGCATGCAAWGATGATCCTTAGAAATATAATCAAGTTTGGAAGTGCTTGAGCTTTAATTTCCTTACAGGATAAAAGTCAAATCAACCAAAGTAACAATCCACACCACTCAATAAARCATCATCATTTCTAKATCACTCACCAACCTATAYTCAGCAGTACTTTACCAAGTGTATYGGGATTTGGGGCTGCCATACAAACTTCTCATTGCTTCTCAGTTTTTATATAATTCTTATAAATGTCCCAATGATGCTTGATAACTGACATTTTCCCTCTTCTTGAAAACATTGGTGGTATCTTGGTCCTGCTTTGAACATTTTTAATTTTTGTTTTAAAGAATTCATACAGAGTTTTACTCCTTGTCAATTAATATGCTTCTTTTCATGTGCTGACAATGTGGAACTAAAACATGATAGTTCCATTTGGTAAAACTTTCTAGTTAATTGACATTTAGATTTATGCAGTCAACCAATTCCATGCTCAGCATGGCAGCACTCTGAATTTTTATTAAGCTTTCATTCAGACTGCTCCTTCTGGCCCCAACATCATGAGGATGCTGCACATCACCTCTGACATTCCACCAAAAGACATTAAGAAGAAAATCAAAGGCAYTGAACATGCTGTAGATGTCAATGCATTTGCTAAAATCCTCCTCACCTTTCAGAAAACTTTGCCTTCTGGGGCAGATTTCCTAAATGCCTCTGGCACAGACTGCTGCCACACTTSCTCACATCTGGCAGCAAAGGAGTCTCTGGCACCAGCTATTTCCAGTGCCTCTGGCACTCCTTTGGAGAACGACTGGAGRCATGGGCCCATTTTTTCTCTAAGTAAGGCAATCAAAAGCTGAGATTTTCAGCKGAAGACATCACTGGGAACAACAGCAACTCCACACAGCAAAATTAAAGTCTGCTATAGCTCCACAAATTTCAGGGATAATTCACKGAGCATAAATTTGGCACAAAATCTTCTACTAACCATCACGGTAAAACAAAAAGTAACAAGTGCAACATAGCCTTCCTAAGAAGGAAATAAAGTCATGGGGAGAGGGAGGGCAGTTCATGCTACTGATTAAAAATACTTCAGTATTACGTATCACATTCCTATCAGTTTCCCCAGTGTGTAACACAGCACGAATACAGATTGAGRAAAAAGCCTTTCTGCAGTTTGGTGCCTGAGGCTGGGGCTGATGGATGAATTCACAYAGCTCCCACCTCTATTTCCTTTTGCTATTAAACTCACTTGGAGGGCAAGGCACCAGGGAGAAGGATTAGTCAGCTGGTTACCTGTGTCACTGGCAGGGAGGGAGGCGCTGTGAGTGTAGAGAGGCCGAGAGAAAATGGGCATTTTCAGGTGAGCAGCACACGGGGAGAAATGGGAAACCAATCCTCCAGTGAACCAAAAGTGTAGAGAAAGATTGTGCACGTGGGAGGGCTTCATGAGAGGATGACAAGTGAAAGAGAGTGATGGGGAAACAAAGCAGGTTTGAGTTCACAGGCGCAGATTTGGTGTTCAGCAAGGACAGGGCTGCCAGCTGGGACAGGGTGCCATCTCCCCCTGACTGGCTGAGGTCACCTCGGTAAGGTCCTGAGCAAGGGTGGACAGGGGTGGCAGGGCCACTGTGCCCTCCTGCTGAGATGCCACCCAGCAAAACAGATGGGAGCACTGGGCTGGGCAGGCAGTGGGGCTCCAGGGGCTGCCAAAGTGACACAACCACAGCACTGCTCAAAGGGGACAGAGCCAAACCCCTGGGCTGCAGCTCTGCTTGGGGTTAGGGTCAAGACTGGAGTGCCAGGTCTAAGGAAGAGAAAAGGGTGAGGGTATATCCAGGAGGGAATTCAGAAGATATTGCCAAAGCAAAGCAAGGTCTGCTGTCAGTGTTTCCTCATGAGCAGCTCTGGCCTGGGACGGAGGCGTCGCAGACTGTGAACAGGCAAACCCAGCACTCAGTTAACACATGCACATGATGAGCACTGCAGTAATTTCAGAATAGGGCCTATGCACAGGGGACTGAAGAGAAAACTGAAACAYTGACTTGGTGTTTGCATTGTCTGAATACACTGGAGGGCTGTGCAGAAAGCTACACAGAGTCCCTGCACAGAAGCACGGCCGGACACTGCTGAGAACAAAGGGCAGGGCTGGTCTTGCTGGTTTGAAGCAAACCCTCCAACCCTGGTGACTGATCCAAGCAAGGAGCTGAGATGCCCTCAGTYTGCAGCTGTGAAAATAGATTAGGAAAGTCTTTGGAGGATATGAGAAAAGGAAAACAAGAGATTGTTACTTTTGGAAGATAGTGATGGTTAATAAAAATATTCTTAACACATGGGCAATTTGAAGGATGTAGAGAATAGCAGTCACTTCAATGGGTTTATGAATATGCCAAAACCTATACAATTTAATAACAATTTGGCTAAGTGAGATCAAAAGTTCAGAAGCTTTTGGCAGCACACAGGTATGGAAAGGGGAAGGTTATGTTTAGCCTTTGATATCCATCACATAACAAAGATTAGCATGGCGGGCCTTGCTCAGCAAAGCTGATTCCCATAACAACAGTCATTCATAAAACACACCATAAAAATGAGAACAAGAGATAYGATTTCAGAGGCCAACTGCATGTGGAAGGCTCTGGGTGACAGTTAATACCTCTGCTTTTACAACAGTGTTGTCTTAAATGGTTTGTTTTGTCTTTCTAGTCAGGTTTAACCTAGGAACAAGATAATGGAAGAAAACTATTGCCKTAGCAGCTCAGCTCGCTGGAGTGTCTGGGAGATTAGAGCTGTGCTCCAGCACCAGGCTGCCATCTGGGCTGGGAATTCACACCTGTGCATTTCAGAGTGTCAGCCTCCTGCACGTGGCTGCTGCAGGCACTCATCAGTCAGCACCGGGGATAAAGCTTTGMCAGAGCTCTATGATGCTCAAGACATTCCATTAGCAACACAGTCATCTCTGCTGTGCTTTCAATTACTGCTTCCCATTCAACCATTGTCTGTTTGCTATGGAAAAGAAAGAACTAGCATAGTCAAAAAGGAGTGGAAGTCTTTTTTAGATGTCACACTGCTGAATAAACCTCTTCCTAGTRAGAGCACATAAATGCCTGGGCACAAAGGAGATCTACTGAGAGAAAATAGAATAAACTCCATCGTCTGCTTCCTGAGCCACTCCACAACTATTTTCTATAAATTCAAGGCTTCAGATGGCATTTATAAAATAAATAAATAAGCCCACTGCTGAGAAGCAGCAGCACATGCTTAAATGAAAATCCTAAAGAGACCGTATAAGAGAATTCCACCAAGGATTAATGAACAAATGTGATTAAAACTATCTACAGCTCTGGACTGCTGCCAAAAYGCTGCCAGCAGTATTTGATATGTAAATGCTTAAAACATTTGCTGTGTGTACTGCCGTTGATGCAAAGCCTCTATAGAGAGTTTCTCCATCTAATTAGAGATATTGGTTTAGCAAACTTTGGAGTCTATAAAAACCCTCAATGTCTCATTATTCTTTTAAAATAGAATATTCATTTGTTTGGAATGTTTTCCAGCTATGTCCCATGAAACCCTGAAAAGCCCTTGGCTAACGATAAACTCCAGCCCTGTATCAGCTAATAAACCCTACAGCTTTTAGGATAATAAAATTCTCACCACATGCACTCATTAAAACTTTGTAACTTGTTGTTTTTGACTTTCTTTAAAAATTCACTGGGGAAAAAGTAAATCACTCAATTTCCAATTATTTCACAGC